TTAATAAAAGAGTTAAGACACATTTTTGGCAAAAAAACGGCAAAAATCTAAAATTTTTTGAATTTTTAAATTAAAAAACGTATATTTTTGGATCTGTAAATGATATTGATCTGATTTTTTGTATATTATTGGAAATTTTGTTGTCTAACTAACAAGAAAAAATTGAGTCCATTTGGTCCAAAATTACGCCCGGTATTCAAAAAAAGGCGGACCAAGGTATGGTAAATTTTGTATCACTAAATTTTTAAATGCCTATAACACGGATATTAGAAGAGATAAGTAGTATGTCCAAGCATGTCGTAGGTACCCTACTTTGAGCCGCCACAGCGCCGTCGCTGGGGCATCTGCAGGATTCATCTTAAACTCGAATACTCCTTGGCTACGCTCACGCCAAATTTTATCCCGATCGGATCAGCCGTTTAGAAATGCTAGATTTATTTCCAAAAAATTTCCATTCTGCCCCACTGTGCGGGCTCTACTTGCTTAATTCCATGTTTCTAGGTTAGATTTTATAGAAAACTCAAAAAGAACCAGTCGAAGGACGAAACAGTATCAAAAAGTCCCCGTTTATAGATTCTCATTTAATCCGGGCTCTACATGCTTAATTTCGTGTTTCTAGGTTTAATTTTAAAGAAAACTCAAAAAAGTACCTACCAAAAAGTCCCTTTATTATTAATTTCACGTTTCGATTTCAGTATCATAGAAAACTCAAAAAGTACCAGTTGGAGAATGACAAAGTACCAAAAAATATCACTTGGTACCCCATTAGCATATTTAGTGTTTCTAAATCTAAAAATTTTATATAAATTGCATCATTGTGTTTGAATAAAATCAAATTTCCCGTTTTTACCCTTTTGTTACTTTTTTCCTCCCCATTAACGAAATAAAAATTCTATTCCAAAAAGTTGCAACATCGTATTGGGAGCCCGTTATTATGTATTCATATGAATGAGTTAATAAACCAAAAACAATAATAAACCAAAAAAAAAATAGGTACAATTTTCACCCCTTAAACGTCCGAATATCCAAAAAGTACTAAATTCATGTTTTTATTTTTTCGTCAAGTAATGAAGGAGTAAAAAATATTTTTTGAATGTTCTCTGGTTAAAAAGATACATGGGGTGCAAAAAAGTACCAAAATACAGTTTTTCCCGTTTATTTCCTAAAGGGGCCGAATTTGAAAAAAAGAAATAGCACATTTTAAGGAGATTTCCACTATTGTGTCCTCAAAAGCGCAATTTTTTTACAGTACTCCATATTTCTCGCTTCAAAAATATATATTTCTCCTCAATATTTTCTGGTTCTAACTTATGTATTACTACATTTTATACCATTTTCTTGGACCAAAGAATTATTTCAGCAATTTGTCATGTTCTTGCCTTGAACATGGCATATTTCTATCATTTTGCGGCGTCGTCTGCTTCTGTTTGCTTCTGCCTCTTTTTTTACTCAAAATTAATGTTTTTTGAATAAGATTATATAAAAAGCCTTAAACTTACTATTTGGATCGAATTTAATTTGAAAATCGTTTACAAATTGTTAAAGTTAGATATTTTTGCAAACTGGCTCTATTTCATGACACACCTTTTTATAAAGCAAAATTTAAAATTACATTTAAATCACGAATATCGACGCGTAAACTATTGTATAAATAATGGTATTATATTCATAACAGATCAATACAAAATTTCCGTTAGTTTTTCCAACTCAATTCTTCATTGGAGAGATTTTAAGTCAAAAGAAACTTTGAAACAGGTGGCTCTATTTTTAGAAACATCACTCGGCCATGTCCGACTGCTAGTCCTTTTTATTTTTGAAGTGTGCGTATGCATATATTTCCAAAATAAATATTTTATAACCTAAAAAAAATCTGGGGAAAAAACTTTCATATACGATGTGTCACGTACGATATTCAAAAATGTTCATTAAAAAACTATATTCATTTTTTATTTAAAAATTATGCATTACGAATGAAAACTATGTCCCATAATGTAAGAAATTAAAACAAAAAATATACACCTACAGAATTCGCCGATTTTCCTATTTTTGTCACGCCATATTTTGGAAAACAAGGTTCCGAATAGGATGATTTCTCTAAATGGAGCAGAATGACAAAATTGTTTTCCAAGTACTCATATATTTACATAATCTATACCACTCTGAATGAATACGAACGTCACATACAATCGTATGGAATTGCCCACATGTACATGCGAATGTGTATGTTATCGGTTTTTCACTCATTGTTGTCATTCCAAGGATTTTTGACATTTCAATTTGTTATGTTGTTTCAAGTGTTATTTCTTTTGTTTGTAGACTTGGCTCCGTTTGTTAATTTAAATGCCGCGAGCAAGCATTGTAAATTCTCTCTATACATACATAAATTCTAAAATAATTGTCAATTATATTTTTACCAATTTGCTTATTCAATTACATACCTTGTACTAGAATAACATGGATATAGTTCTAAGAAACACCTGTAAATTATTATATAATTAATATTTACCTTTTGAATGCAGTTAAAAAGAAAAAGTCTCAATAAAGAATTCAATTCAAATATCAAATATTGTCGACATTTTTAACGATTGTCGAATTATTAAAAGTTACTGTACCGCAATTCTGTATTTTTTTAATTTTAACTATCGATATCGTAAACTAACGACAAACATCGGTTGCATTAACGAATTTTCAATTCTGTAACTTTTTAACGAACTTAGAATATTTTAACGACAAATGTCGTAAAAATATGAGAATGTCAAAAGTTTTGTATTGAAATATTTTTAAAATATAAAATTATTAACGTGAACTTTTTATTTGTCGTTACATTGCCGATACTTTTCGTTAACTAATGAATTTGTTTAACGAAAAAAATCGGTGAAATAAAATGCAGAATACCACATAACGACAATTATTGTTAACTTACGAATTTATACTATTTAACGACAAAATTTTGTAGTTAAAAAGTTACTGAATTGCTTTACTGAAACCCACTACTAATCTGAATCCCATTTGTATAATTACGGTTCATATAATGAGACAGATAAATTAAAAGGCACAATATCTTTGATTTCATAAAATGCGCATGAAACAACATTACTAATCTGAATCCCATTTGTATAATTACGGTTCATATAATGAGACAGATAAATTAAAAGGCACAATATCTTTGATTTCATAAAATGCGCATGAAACAACATTTGCATTTGTTTTTGCCAATTCAAATCTTATGTGAATTTCTTTCTGTGTATTTAAATCATATTTAACGCTCTATGCTACATTTCTTAGACTTAGAATTTATTCTTAGGTATAAGTTTAAATAAATAAATAAATAATAGCGAAGATAATTTCCCAAATTTTACTTTTATGATTTTTAATTAGATAGAAAGTTTGAAAACATTAATATGCTATCAAGTAAGAATAAAATCAATTTTATTGTATTTTGTGAATGTTTAAAATTTAATATAGTTTTAAAGATAAAAACAAAAAATGCAGTACGATGAAATTTGCAGCTTTATACTTTGCTTTACTTTATTTTGGTAAATACAATCAATTATTAAATACAATCAATACAAATACAATTTCATATCAAGTGACCCAACTCAAAAATGGATTTTGACGAAATTTGCACCAATGTTAGTACTATTGGATAGTAGGCCAGACACAATTTTCAGCGCTATCGGTCCAGAACTACCGGACTTAGAGGCGGTCAAAGTTGGACATTTTGGTCATACAGGATTTTATTCAATGCGTGTAACTTTTCAACTATTGTTCCTAACAAAAATTGTCCAAAGGAGTTCAGATAGCTATTTCTTCAATGTTTCCAATTTTTTTTTTTTATACCCACCATCAAAAAAGATGGGGGGTATATTGATTTTGTCATTCCGTTTGTAACACATAGAAATATTGGTCATAGACCCACAAAAGTATATATATTCTGGGTCCTCATTAAATTCTAAGACGATCTAGCCATGTCTGTCCGTCCGTCCGTCTGTCTGTCTGTTGAAAGCACGATAGAGTCCGAATGGAAAGAGCTAGAGGGTTGAAATTTCACATAAATATTTCTTATAGGTAAGGTTTGTTTGGTATTGAAAATGGGCAATATCGGTCCACGTTTTCGGATAGCCCCCATACAAGTTGCCCCTCGAAAAGCAGCTTTAACAGCCATAACATGTTTAAAAATACGAATATAGCGATGAAATTCGATATAAGTAAGTTTCTTATGATCCAAAATCAATATGCGAAATTTTATGAGGATCGGTCCATAATTGACCCTACTCCCCATATAAGGTCCCCTTCAGAAAATGACTTTAACGCTCATTACTGGCTTAAAAATACTAGTATATAGATGAAATTCGACATAAGTAAGTTTCATACGAGTTAAAATCTATCTAAAAAATTTTATGAGGATCGGTCCATGATTGACCCTACCCCGCATATAAGGTCCCCTTCAGAAAATGACTGCAACGCTCATTAATGGTTTAAAAATACGAGTGTAGCGATGAAATTCGACACAAATAAATTTAATACGAACCAAATTCTATCTACCAAATTTTATGAGGATCGACCCATAATTGACCCTACCCCCCTATACATGGTCCCCTTCAGAAAATTACTTTAACGCTTATAACTGGCCTAAATATACGAGTATATAGATGAAATTCGACATAAGTAAGTTTCATTCGAGTCAAACGAGGTTTGATGGTGGGTATATAAGATTCGGCATATCCGAATATAACACTCTTACTTGTTTTTTTTATTTTTTTTAAATCTAAAAATCAGGAAACTGAGTTTCTGAACACTGAAAAATAATTCTTTCAGTTTTTTTTCATGATAAGGAGCGCACAACAGGCCCGACAGTGGCCTAGGTGTATTTCTTCGGATTTGATGTAGTATACATCCTCCTATCGACCTACCTACCAACCTATCTACCTACCTAAAATCTAAAAAAATAAAATTTAATTATTTAAAAATTTTTTTTCAAAAAACCCCCATTTTTTTTTAACGAAAGCTGGTCTACTATCCAATAGTAGTAACCTTGGTGAAAATTTAATCCAAATCAGAAGACATCGATTTTTAAAGTTGGGTCACTTGACACGAAATTACCCATATGTATATTCCAAAATTTTAATGTGCTATTATTAGGTGCTATTACTCAACTTACTTCATACTTAAATGTGTAAACCATATAGTAACATATAGATCTTGTCAATGACCTAAGACCAAACTGAGAAGAATGTATTAGTAGAAGCATTAAAATTAACACAGTGGTTCAAAAAGTACTAAATAATATATAATAATAAGTTATTTTTGGTACGTTATTTTTTGTGTGTAATTTATGGAATTTCATTTGCTAGTGAATGAAAATATTAGTTTAAAATTTTTTTAATAATATATTTTATCTTATAATACGTCTTTTTATTTTTTTATCTGTACCAATTAAAAATATTTGAAATACTTTTTTCGTTTACAACACGAAAATTTATTACTTTTCCTTTTTCAGTTTTAATGAAAATGAAATATCAACGAATAAAAAAATATTTTTTACTTGTAAAAACTAAATTCATTTCCTAAAAGTGTCGATAAAAATATAAAATATAATGTTAAGAATTAAGTAAAACTATAAAGTGCTTATCCTCGAATTTTCGCGAAGAAAATTTCAAGTTTTGTAAGAGAGTTAAGTCCTCACAAGTGTTTTTAATTCTCTCAACCGCTTCAGTTTAGCCTTTATATAACTATATGGTGTAAACTTTTATAGTATTATCTAGTTCTAGGGCACAGTTGAAAAACTTTATAATTTATATTTAAATCGAAATACATTTTTAAATTGAATAATTTTCACATCCTTCATTAAAATTCTTTAGTTTTGTTGTCTGAAATAACGGTGTGCTTCGAACTGCGGCGGAAAAATCCTTGGAGTTTTTACTGGCTTGAAAGCTTTTGCTTGGCATTGGAGACATTGGTTCTCCCCAAAATTTTAAATTAGAAAATACTTTGATATATGCGATTCTGAAAAAAAAATAAAAATAATAAAAAATTTAAAATATATACAAAAGTAGTTTTAATAAATATTATATTATGCTTTACATTATATGACAGTGATAAAAAACACACTTTAATAATTAATTAATGACAAATCTTGTGAAATTTAAATAAAAAAAAATACAATTATATTGGCACACGAAATTAAGGTTTGTAAAAACTTTTAAAACCAATTCGACTGATTTTAATGTATTTTTAGCTGCTGAAACCGAATCAATCACCCACAATTTACTCGCAAAATGGCATTGAATATTTAGTTCGTATATTACGGACATTTTATGTAATCGTAAAAATATATTTACGTTTAAAGGTTAAAATATGTTTACATAAAGGGTCTTCATTACATATATTTTTTAAGTTTCGATTGAAAAGTACAATATTTATACACTCCCGCTCACTTAAATAGGTTCACTGTTTTGTTTACATTCAAACTAATATTTTGCAAAAATAATGGACTAATTCGTTATATTAAAATTTTAATTAATACCATGATGTCTTATATATCACTAGATAGACAAACATTAGTGCAATACTTAATAACCGATTTTTAATAATTTTTTTTTCTAAAATACTACGTTTTCGAACAATATTTTTTTGGCCATTTGAATAGGTTCGTCATCTTTAATTAACTAAAACAACAACAAATTGCATTTTTCATGAAACTTTTTTATTTTATAAACATTTTTACAAGGTTTTAGAAAAGATTTACTAAGGAACATATCCGCCGTTATTTGATATAACTCCGAAAATTCGAGATGATAAAGAGTTATAAATATTCTTAAGTAATGGCAAGGAAATTTCGATCCACGCCTTTTTAGTTCTTTCAATTTAGGCTTCTTTTATGTCATACTGTCTGCCCGACCTATACACATTACGAGTAAGAATATCCGAAACCTTTTCAATAATATATAGGTGAAAATATCCTCAACAGCTATGCAAACGACTCAGGTAGGGCTCTTCCTAAATCATAAAAATAATGGTTATACCCAAATGGACCTTCTTAATTAAACATTTTTTCATCCGAAAAAACAAGATGTTGATATAGCTTTTTATAACCATGTGTTCACGTGCAAACTGAAGAGGATTTCTCTTTAGGAGTGCTAATTGGAGTGGCTTTTATTAATTTTTTAATATTTCTAAAGCCTTGCCCTTCTTACAATTCATTTTACTGTAGCTAGGCTTGCTGTAACATCCACTTTTTCTTTAATTTTTGCTACAGAATCACTTGACTTGGGGCAAATTTTATGAAATCTCTTCTGTCCGCTTTTGTTTTGACTCTTTATGTAGTTCCATTTATGCTTTCTTAGAGCGGGTTTTTGAGATGGTAATCAAATGCCAATTAATAATCAGATTAGTTAATCTAAAAATAAATTTAATCTTATGTTAATCCCCTTTGATGTTTTTGAGTACAAGATTAAACTTCGCAGTGTTGCCATACAAAACAACAGAAAATGTCACTGTTTGTTATCAAAACAATGCATATTTTATAAAAAAGAAGAAGACAATTGTAAATTTAATATGAAAATTAATGAAAACTGAAATTAAAAACAAAAAAATGTATTTTGAAGTGTCCATAATTGTGGCCTCCGGTAGGTTAGTGGTTAGTGTTCTAGTCTGGTAGACCGGAGGTGGTAGGTTCGATTCCCACCTGAGGCACTGGTTAAGGAGCGCACAACAGGCCCGATAGAGGCCTAGGTGTATTTCTTCGGATTTCATGTATATACATCCTCCTTTCAAACTAACTAAATAACTAACTAACTAACTAACTAACTAACTAACTAACTAACTAACTAACTAACTAACTAACTAACTAACTAACTAACTAACTAACTAACTAACTAAGTGTCCATAATTTATACTAATCAATAAATAGAACATTTTAATGTTTATATATATAAAAATTTTATTAATTTTTTTGCATCAGCTGTTTACACTTTTGCATTTCGTGCTTAAGATTAAAGCACCCCCATTGGGCGCTTAAACTTGCAAACAAAATTAACTAATTGAGTACTCAAAAACATCTTTCGAGGATTAATTTTAATTTAATCGCTAATCTTTCACCTAAAGATTGGCCCTTAATATTCAAACTGTTTTCTTATGCAATTGCCCAATTTTTTTGAAAATTCCTGTGATTTTGGACAGTTTCCAAAAACGCTTGAATTTTGTTTAAATCTTCCTACCGAATTTCATGCGGAAAGTGTCGGGAAGTGATATTCGATGTAAAAATATTTTGTATGAACCAAAATTGGTCTAAAATTTTTTTTTGGAAAAACGGTCAATTATTAACCCTATCTCTTTAGTTGGTGAGTAATATCACCCTGATGTTTATAGGGGAGCATTCCTTTTAAGGCATACAGTTTGATGGTGGGTATATGATATTCGGCACAGCCGAATATAACACTCTCACTTGTTACTTATTGGGGATGCCACGCAAATTATTTTAATTTAGATTTTAATGTAACCTATGAAAAATTTGAATAATATACTAGTTTCCCACGTATGCGAAATTTTGTTTTTAATTCATATGGGAGATGCCTAGGTCCTATTGAAAGTCCGCCCATGAATGTCAAAGTTTTTCATGTAAAATATGGGAGGTTCCGATTTGCTAGTCCGCCAATTTATTACCAAAATGTTCACATTTTAAGAGCACTTTTAGTTGAAGGGTCATGTCGCAGGGTTTTTTCTCTATTCTTTTTTAAATGCCCTTCGTAAAATAATGAACGTTTAGATGGAGACTTAAAAGGCGTGCGACATTTTTTGTTAGTGTTGCCATATTTATGATTCTTAAATGTTGTTTCTATTATTTTGTTTAATAATATACATATACTAGCTATACCCAGTGTGCTTTGCTACCCTAAAAGCAATATAAATAAAAAATCTTCTTAATAATTTTGAAGATGCTAACTGTAATGTCTTCCAGAGATACATTTTTTCCGAACGTTAATTAAGATTTTAATGTAATCGATGACAAATTAAAAAAAATCTAATATTTTCCCAGATATACGAAATTTTGTATTTAATTCATATAGGTGGTGCCAAGACCCCATTGAAAGTCCGCCCGTAATTCTCTAAAGGTTCACATTAATGTCAAAGATCTTCATGTAGAATTCTAGATTCTAGCTCTAATAGTTTCTCAGATATACGAATTCTATTTAATTCATATGGGAACTCACAGCCCCCAGATGAAAGTCCGCCCTTTTTTTCTTCAAAATGTTCATATGTATAATAAAGTTCTTCTTGCAATATTTGAAGAATCTTGTTCTATTAGTTTCCCAGATAAGCAAAATTTTGTATTTACTTCATATGTGAGGTGCCAAGCCCCCCATTGAAAGTCCGCTCGTTCTTCTCTGAATGTTCACATGAATGTCAAAGTTCTTCAATTAAAATTTGAAGATTCTAGCTCTAATAGTTTCTCTGATATAATAATTTTCCTATTTAATTTATATGGGGGCTCCAAGCACCCCATGACGAAAGTCCGCTCTTTTTTCTCCAAAATGTTCAGATGAATATTTAAGTTCTTAGTGCAAAATTTGAAGAATTTAGTTTTATTAGTTTCCCAGATATACCAATTTTTGTATTTTATTAATATGGGAGGTGCTGCTCCCCTTATGGGTAGTCCGCCAATTTATTTCCCAAAATGTTTACATGGATGTTAAAGTTACTCGTGCAAATTTTTAATATTCTAACTATAATAGTTTCCAAGATAAACGAATTTTTGTATTTAATTTATATGGGAGGTGCCACGCCCCCTAATGCTAATCCGCCCACTTTTTGTCTTAAATAATTATATTGATACTAAAGTTGCTCCGACAAAATTTGAAGACTCTAACTATTATATTATCTCAGATATACTAATTTAATAATTTCTTAATATGGGCGTGGCACGTCGCCCACATGAAATTTCAACATAAAAAGTAGCCTATAGTTCCTTGTAGACATACAGGAAGAAACTGTGAAAATTTCAGGAAAATCGGTCCAGCCTTTTAGCAGTCTATAAAGCACAAACAAACAAACAAACAAACAAACAAACATACATACAAACACACTTTCATTTTTATATATATAGATGATTTCCCAGATATAGAAGTTTTAAATTTAATTCATATAGGGAGTACCACGCCCCTTTTTCTTAGCCAGCCCATTCTGTCTAAAATATTCATATTGACACTTTAGTGGATTCGACAAAATTTTGGGACTCTAACTTTTATATTTTGTTAGACATATTTATTTAATATTTTTATGGAAGGTGACACGCCCATTACAGCAAGTCTGCCCATTTTTTCATATAGATGTCAAAGTGTTCCATACACAATTTGAGGAATCTACCTGTTGCAGTTTATTAGATATGCGACATTAAATACTTATTGGGTATGTGGGCGTGGCAACTCGCCTACTTGAAATTTTAAAATAAAAAGTAGCCTATAGTTCCTTCCAGACATAGGAAAGTACTGTAAAAATTTCAAGAAAATCCGTCCGGCCATTTTTAAATATATAGATTCATATATTCATATGGGAGTTGTCACGCCCCCTATCGCTAGTCAGTCCATTTTTGTCTAAAATATTCATATTGATACTAAAGTGGCTTCGATAAAATTTTAGGAGTCTAACTGTTATATATTCTTAGATATAACAATTTAATATTTTTATATGGGAGGTGACAAGTCCACTATAGCCAATCCCATTTTGTTCATCTACACGTCAAAGTCGTCCATACAAAATTTGAGGACTCTAGCTGTTGCAGTTTATGAGATATGCGACATTAAATACTTATTAGGTATGTGGGCGTGGCACGTCACCTACTTGAAATTTTAAAATAAAAAGTAGCCTATGGTTCCTTCCAGATATACAGGAAGGTACTGTAAAAATTTCAAGAAAATCGATCCAGCCGTTTAGCCGTCTATAGACTTCAAACAAACAAATAAACACACATTCATTTTTATACATATAGAAGAAGGAAAATTAATGCA